GATGTGGGGCTTGAACCCAGGACCTGGGATCATGACCTGAGCCGAAGGCAGCGGCTTAACCCACTGAGCCACCCAGGCGCCCCAACCATGTTATTTTTGAAGAGTATATCCAAGTTATCATGATACCTGAATTCATCTCTTCTGGAGAAAAAAAGGAAAAATCGATGATGTTTACAAAATTTCTTATCTTAATTAAGAGCTGCATCTCACTTGAACTCCAGCAGGATGTCTTACCAAAGACTCATTATTTGTTGTTGTTGTTGTTTGACTGGGTTTCTCAGTGGGGCACTGTTGACATTTTGAACAGCATAGTTTTTTACTGCACCAGATTTCCCATACATTCCTGGCTCCTGCTTGCTAAATGCCAGTAGCATTCTTCATTTGGTGTGACAACCCAAAACACCCCCACATGAGAACCACTATTCTGTAAAATTTATTTAGAGTCTTTAAGTAAGGAAAATGGCCTTGCTTTTTATATAGTAGGCAGTTTAACAAATTTTCAAGTTGATTGTTTTAATTATCAGCAATCTGTCATCAGATAGGTGATAATGTACATTAGTCAAATTCTGTAGATGTAATTAGTTATATTTAATAAATAAATGATTAAGGGTTAAGTTGATCATAAATGTTTTAATATAATCTGAAATGAGAATCCTGTTAACAGTTTCCATTTAAAATCAAGGAATTCACCTTTGAAGTTAACTGAAATGAAATATTTCTGGAAGATTTACCTTAAAATTCAGTATTTTACTGTTAGAAATTTTAGGGGGGAACAAGTATTATGTTCATTTTATTTTAATTTTAATGATATCAATTATTCTTTTTGTTTTTCTTTCAGGATTGGTCCCTAGGAGAGAGCTCCTTATAGAAAATGTGCCATATTGTGATGCACCAACTCAGAAGCAATGAGTTTTCTAGGATAAAATCAAGTCTTTTAGTTTTTAATCCTAAATATATAACTGTGGCAATGAAAGTTTTGGAAATGCAAGTATTTCAGAACCAGCCTATTGAAAGTGAATGAATTAAAGTACCATTTCATAATTAAATTTCACACTAAAAGAACATTGCTGAAAACTGCAGAACATAGTTAAATATTTTTAGACAGCTTTAAATAAGACATGTCGTTTGCTTTGAAAATCAAACTTTATAAACTAAAATAAATGCTTAGGAGATATGTCCTATTCATTTCTCTATGACCTTGATGAGTATTTTGGTTTTAACATAACTAAGAATGCAGTGATTTGACAAGTTGGTGGATTTTCCTCCCATGTAAAATGAAACTATTATATTAAAATTGTTAGATTAGGGGTGTCTGGATTGTTCATTTGGTTGGGTTTCTACCTTCAGCTTGAGTCATGATCTCAGGGTCCTGAGATTGAGCTCCATTTTGGGCTCCCTGGTCAGCAGTGGGTCTACTTTCCCTTCTCCCTCTGCCCCTGCACTCTCTCTTTCTCTCTCACTCTCAAATAAGTAAAATTAAAAAAAAAAAAAAAAAAGAAGAAAGAAAGATAAAATTATTAAATCTGTGTTTAGTTCTATAAACATTAAATTGGTCAGAAAAATCACAATGCGATAGAATGTGGCCTTTGTCTCCTAAAGCAGTGAAATTTCTGTAGCTAACAAATGATTACTCAGTTTCCTTTCAGAGATAGAGACTCTCTCTGTTCCTGTAAAGATATTTTTCTAATAAGTCTTCTGAAGAGGGTCACCTGGGTGGCTCAGTGGGTTAAGCCTCTGCCTTCGGTCTCAGGTCATGGTCCCAGGGTCCTGGGATTGAGCCCCACATCGGGTTCTCTGCTCAGGGGAGAGCCCGCTTCCCCGTCCCCCTTTGCCTGCCTCTCTGCCTACTTATGATCTCTCTCTATCTGTGTCAAATAAATAAAATCTTTAAGAAAAAATTAGTCTTCTGAAGATAGATAAATAAAATATCAAAATCACCTAGGATCATTGTGGAATGAAGAATCCTAATTTTTTTAGGAAATAGTGACCCTTAATCAAACTATGTAATACAGCCTTAGTAGAAATAGTATACTTGGGCCACAGCTAGACTTTATTGTGAAAATGTAATATGTGGCTACATTCTTTCCATTGTAATCAATAAAACTAAATGGCTGTTCTTTTTCCACATATCCCATCCATCCCTGACATAATGGGCAGTATCACAAAACATTGTGTCATTCTACCATCTAACGGTGGGAACTAAAAAATTATATTTAATATTCTTCTTGTTTCTCTTTTAACTGTGTATTTTTATCATTCTCTTAGTGAACAGTGTGTTCTCTCCCATTTGCTGACCAATTCTCCCATTCAATGATGATACAAAATTTTTAATTTTTATAGGATTCTTAATGCAAGCTTTGTTGGCAAAACATGGGTATATCCATACTGGATATAAAATGTCATATTTTAAAATAATTTAATTTAAATTTAAAAATAATAAAATAATTTAATTTGGGGAGATCAAAGATTTTCTAAATTCCTCAGACATACTACACTTAATATTAAGCCTTTAACTATCCTTAATGTCTTCTAATAGTTGTAAGAAGAGTGTTTAATTGTCTGTAAAATGGTTTATACAGGGGCGCCTGGGTGGCTCAGTGGGTTAAAGCCTCTGCCTTCGGCTCAGGTCATGATCTCAGGGTCCTGGGATCGAGCCCCGCATCGGGCTCTCTGCTCTGCGAGGAGCCTGCTTCCCTCTCTCTCTGCCTGCCTCTCTGCCTACTTGTGATCTCTCTCTGTCAAATAAATAAATAAAATCTTAAAAAAAAAATGGTTTATACATGTCAAAAGACTTGCTACGTTAATTTTTCATCTCCCATGTATAGTTCTTATTTTTGTGGAAATGATACCTAATTGTTGCTTCATATTTGAAATTGGTTCTTATAAAAGAATGCTGAAAGTTGTCACAATATAATCACTGCTAAATTCCCTGACCTACTATTGTTTTATTAAGTATCTATATTATCTATTTGGAGGAAAGTTGGCTGACCTAGGTTAACTTAATATATTTTAATTATTTCAGTAATACTGAAAATTTTAACAGTTTCTAGCTTTTTTTCTTAAGATTTACTTATTTATTTAACAGAGAGAGAGAAAGCATGAGCAGGGGTTAGGAGCAAGGGGAGAGGGAGAAGCAGTTCCCCCGCAGAGCAGGGAGCCCAGTGCAGGACTCCATCCCAGGACCCTAGAATCATACCTGAGCTAAAGGTAGATGCTTAAACTACTGAGCGCTCCCTTGCTTTCTTTCTTTAATCTTAATTCCTGTGTTCCATTCTTCATTCACATTAATTTAAATATCTGAACAGATTTCTTTTTTCTTATAAACTTATCATTAGGAGCAATAGAGATTAATAATTCACATGCATATTTTATGAAACCCAGTGGCTATGAGATTTTCTTCAAAATACATATATTTTATACATATATGTATTATACATATACATATATAAGAAAAAGGATCCTGTTTATATTAGCAGAGAAAACTATAAAATAGTAATAGACTTTAAAAAAAAAGTATAACTTAATGAAAGACATACTACGTTTTTAGATGGGACAATTGAAAATTATTGACATGAACAGTTTAAATGTTATCTATCAAAATCCCAAAAGATTAAAGATACGTCAACATAAGAATATGTAACTTCTTTTTTTTTTTTTAAGATTTTATTTATTTATTTGACACCAGAGAGAGAAATCACAAGTAGGCAGAGAGCGGGGGGGGGGGGGGGACGCAGGCTCCCCGCTGAGCAGAGAGCCTGATGCGGGACTCAATCCGAGGATCCTGAGATCATGACCTAAACTGAAAGCAGAGGCCCAACCCACTGACCACCCAGGCACACAAGAATATGTAACTTCCGTACTCTGTGAAAGCTCCTATTAAAAAGGTTTAGAGAAATTATTTGCTTTCAACATAGTGATTAAAATAGTTTAAATATGTAAGTGCTCCTATGATTTAATTAATCATAATTGTGTGAAAAATAAACGTGAAAAATGGTCCATTTCTTCACAAAAGAAGAAATATTAAGCCCCTCTAGTGATCAGAGAAATGTAAATTAAAATGAAACTTTTTTGGTCATCAAATTTGTAAAAGTTAAACTGATCATATCCATTATTTGTAAGGGTAACATGGGTATGAGGAAGTGGATAATCTAAATATTTCTGGAAGGGATAAAAGTGATAGGACCGTTTTGAAAGGAAAATTGACGTTAAAATTTAAAATAAACATATTAGGATGCCTGGGTGGCAGTGAAGCATCGGCCTTCGGCTCATGTCATGATCCTACAGTCCTGGGATGGATCCCCACGTCGTGGAGCTCCTTACTCAGCTGGGATCCTGCTTCTCCCTCTCACTCTGCCTGCTGCTCCCCCTTTTAAAAATAATTAAATTAACATATTATTCAGTCTTTGATCTCCATAGCACACACAAGAATACATGTATATATATATACGTATATATGTATATATGTATATGTATACGTATACACACACACACACACAAATTAATAGAAATCTACATACTTTAAAAAAATACACATGCTTATGTTAGTACAGTTGACCTTTGAACAACAAGGGCTTAAACTGCATGGGTCCACTTATACGTGGACCTTTTTCTTGGTAGAGTACAGTACTGCAAATGTATTTTCTTGTCCTTACGAGTTTCCTAATATTTTCTCTTGTCTAGCTTACTTTATTATAAGAATACCATATATAATACACATAACATACAAAATACGTGTTAATCAACTATGTTGTCAGTAAGGCCAGCATGTAGCTTATTCGTAGTTAGGTTTTTGAGCAATTGAAAGTTATATGTCAATTTTTTTTTTTAAAGATTTTATTTATTTATTTGACAGAGTTCACAAGTAGGCAGAGAGGCAGGCAGAGAGAGAGAGAGGGAAGCAGGCTCCCTGCTGAGCAGAGAGCCCGAGGCGGGACTCGATCCCAGGACCCTGAGATCATGACCTGAGCCGAAGGCAGCGGCTTAACCCACTGAGCCACCCAGGCACCCCTATATGTCAATTTTTAACTGCATGGGAGTTTAGTGCCCCTAACCCCCATGTTGTTCAAGGGTCAGTTGTAATTAGGCAGGAAAATGAGACTTGGTGAAAGACTGGTAAATTGGGGATTTTTCTTATGGTAACTCCTGCATGTTTAAATATTTTTTACAGTGAGTAGATTAATGTATAATTTTTAAAAGATGACACCTAAGCTACTAGTGATTTATTTAAAACTTAATTATGAGGGGCACCTGGGTGACTCAGTGGGTTAAAGCCTCTGCCTTTGGCTCAGGTCATGATCCCAGGATCCTGGGATGGAGCCCCGCATCATCGGGTTCTCTGCTCAGCATGGAGCCTGCTTCCTCCTCTCTCTGCCTGCCTCTCTGCCTACTTGCCATCTCTGTCTGTCAAATAAATAAATAAAATCTTTAAAAAAAAAACAATTATGAAATAGTAAAAATATTAGCATCTAGTGTATCAGACACTTATGACCCTCATTCCCACATTTGACAGAGGTTACATTTTGCCGTATTTGTTTAAAGATGTCCTTCCTTACAAGTCACAAAATCTTATAAAGCCAAAGTCCCACTTCTGTTTCTTCCTCCTGTGTCTTTTCAGGTATAATTACTGTTTTACAACTGATGGATATCATTCCCATACTTGTTTTTGTACTTTTACAAATGTGTGTGTATTCAAAACAATACATAGTTTTGTTTTAAAGTTTTAAAATGAAAATAAATGGTGTTATGCTCCATGTGTTCTGTAACTTATTTTCATCATACTTAGGTTTTAAAGATCTATTTTTTTAATTTTTTTATATGGGATCTATTTTGTTGTATAAATATCTGGGTCTTTATGTCTTATACCATTGTAAGAATGAACTAGCTTATCCATGTCTCTTGAATGATAGTATTGTCTTGTTTTTTGATATTCCAAACAAATTTACCAACAGCTCCAGCACATGGATTCTTGTACCCAAAGTTTATCTGAATTTATAGGAGGAGGCAGAACCACTAAGTCATAAGGTATGTGCATATTCATTCCTTCCAGGAATTTTTAATTGTTCTTTAAAGTAGTTGTACCAGTTTATATTCTAGTCAATACTGTTTGAGAGGTCCCATTTTTCCTTATCCTCACTGTTGTTATTATATATGACTTCTCCCATTTTTTTCAAATTGATGGATATGAAATGGTATCATGTTTTAATTTGCATTTCTGGATTACAGGTGAAGTAGATCATCTTGTGTTTATTGGTCATTACAGTTTTCCTTTATGAATGTGTGTTCATATCCTTTGTTCACTTTTTTCTCTTGGATTATCTGGCATTTGCTTACTGATCCCTTTTTTTATATATTGGGTA